AAGTTTCATGATTTTAATTAATTAGACATACTTTTTTATTATTAATAAAATTTTATTTAACCATTAAAAAGGAGTCCAGAAAAATTCAAACTGAAAAAACCCCCCCCCCCCCCAGGCCGTAAACACTGATAGATGTAGCAGTCATGAAAGTGCATCGCATCAGTCTGAGAGTGACTTGCAGGAGTAGCTGAATTCGAGAAACTTCTGTTCTTGCTTTTTGTTGAACGTTTGCCCAGAATAAGTCCAACGACTCAAAAAGAAAAGAAAAGCACAAAAAATCAATAAGCCATGAAAAACTATTGATAATACTTCACATTACAATGAAGTAAAACTGAGCTTTGCCCACTTAACTCTGGTTGCAGGCTTGCCTTCCAGTGGCTTTGGTATAATGTTAATGTTACGGAGAATAAGGCGGCGCCTTCCCGAAATGCAATGCGGAGTGAAAACATCGCTACGTAATCAATAATATATAATTCTTAAATTAACAGCAATCTGCAGCAGTATTTAGGGATCGGGTCTGCTGGGAATGATTTCTGTTAACCTAAACAATAATTTTAAATGATTATCGTTTAGGTTATGTACAACGGCACGTTTTATTATGTGTATCTTCCACTGTGTTCTACTGTTTATTTTTCAACAGGATCAAAGAAGAGATGATTGAAGTGAGCTGAATACTGAGTCCGACTCCGTTCGTTAGATAATAACGCATAAAGAAATATAATTCTGCCTGCGTCACTGATTAACCCGTTCAGTGCCTGCTGTTTTCGGTGGATTGTATTGTTAGATTGCATTATGGAAATGATCTGCGTCTGTATTATTTAATGTGCTAATTGTTAGTAGATCAGCAGAACTAATTTGCTCTATCATTCACTTTCCGTTTCGCCCACTCAATCATAATCATGAAGACTGCTGCTCTTAAAACAACTGCTGGTCTGTAAGTTAAACTTTCCTGCATCATTTATCATTTCTGGATGTCCGACTAGTCCCGTATTTTCACCCACAGCTTGTGCTAAACACTGTTAAACTACTGATTTACAAACTAGAGAATACACAAGATTTAAAAAGCCACTGATGGGCGTTTGCGTCGTGCTGTCCAGCCCTGTATATCAGCTTTAAACACATGTACAAGATTATAAAGTCATTCAGTTTGAGTAAAGAAGCTAAAGGAATGACAAAAATTATTCACAAGAAACGGAAAGCGTTGAAAACATTTCGACGAACTTCTTTGCTCTTGCACAAAGTGAAAGTAAACAGAAAACAAGACTTACTGCCTTTAAAAGTCCTCTGTGCTTCAGTGAATCAGATGAAGATAGCTTTCCAGCTGAACGCTCGAGATGTTTGGAGAGAAAACGCAGAAATAGCTGCAGCTGTTAAAGGTGTGTCTCATGAATATTAAGCAGGCTATCTCTGGGACCGCCCACAGCACGTCATAATTAACCTTTAAACTCTCTTAACATGGCACACTTATCCTGCAGATATGATTACACTGCAAACAAGTGCCTCATCACTAGCATTTTTGCTTTTCGGAGGATAACAGCATAGTTTCGTTCATCAATATGTCTGATCAGAATGATTAGTGACCATTTGTCACGAGCAAGCAATTTACAATCTGACGACACAAACTGTGACAGTGAGCTGTAGACTGTTAGTGTAATAATAATAATCATCATTTCAGACTAACCCTCCCTGACGTGAATATGTAGGTAAATCGCTGAGAAAAAAAAAGAAAAAGGCAAAATCAGGCATATTCGTATATTCACATTGAAAAAAGTATTCAGCAGCTCCCAAGACTTTTCATCTATACTCGATATTGTATTCGTGATCCACATCTGCATAGACATAACATGATATAATGAATCCCACAACAACCACATTGTGTCTATATTTATTATTCTTTAAAAGAGCATCAACACAATCAAATCAAACATTACCTTGTGAAAATACTGTAACAATATAAAAAGAAATCTACATTTTAATGAGTGCAATAGAAATAAAAAAAACATGATGTTCCACTCGTTTAAAGCCCTTGCAATTTGCTGTAAAAGGAACAGAGAAATATGATTATAGATTATTCTCAAAGCAGTGTCGTTAAGTGTGTAAATGTTGATTAAGAGGCGGAGCTGGTGTCTGCCGTACGGAGCTGAAGAGAAGTTCCCACAGAAGATGAAGCAGGTGGGCGGCATGGCAGAGTAGCCTGAAACCATTCAGCATTTCAGTCAATCACACACGTAATAATTCATGAAGGCATGATGGGTGTGATTATTCAAAGATAAGCCCCCACTGTTCCTTTTATAATTATCAAGAGATGCTATAAAATGGAAGCAGCCTTTTCTGTTTGGAAGCCAATAAGAAAGCAGGTCAGTAATCTCCATGTTACGAAGAGATATAAATAGATCTGATAACCGAATCTTTAAATGTAATAATTCACCACGCCATTATTCTGCATGTTGTCAAGAGATGAACACACGCTCTGATCTGTGATGAGACACATGAGGAAAAACAGACAGTCGACGAGCACAAGGACCTGTTTGAAGCCTGGAGATAATAACTTGTTGCTGTCAAAATTCAAACACGACTGCAGATTCAGTTTCCCTTCGCTTTAGCAGAGTGACTGTCGTAGCTCACATTATTTATTATTATTCATGTGACTACTATTAGTCAGGATCGTATAATAGTCCATTTGTGATGCTGACTAGTAGTTAAACTTAGTTCACCCAAAAAAGAAAATTCTGTCGTTAATTACTCACCCTCATGTCGTTCCAAACCCGTGAGACCTTCGTTCATCTTCTGAACACAATTTAAGATATTTCTGATGAGTTTTCTGAGCCTGCATAGACAGCAAGGGAACTGAAACGTTCAGGGGCCAGAAAGGCAGTAAGGACATCATTAAAATAGTCCATGTGACATCAGTGGTTCAACCATATTTATATAAAGCTACAAGAATACTTTTTGTGCACAAAAGAAAACAAAAATAACGACTATTCAACGATTTCTTCTCTTGCGGGTCAGACTCCGCCGCACGTTCAGGAGAGTATCACGACACATGCGTGTTCTACGTCAGAACGCTGGCTCCTGCGTCAGCAGCATCACACGCATGGTGTTCAGAAGATGAACGGGTTTAGAATGACATGAGGGTGAGTAATTAATGACAGAATTTTCTTTTTTGGGTGAACTATCCCTTTAATATTCTTAGCAGTGGCGCATTTAATTACAAATGCCTTTGTCAAATGATTGAGAGCAGGTTTTTCAATAACCAATGCTGATAGGGATGTAACAATTAACTGCGAGCCGGTTGAAAATCGATTCAAATATGTGACGATTCAAATCGGTTGAGATGCTAAACAAATCACGATTCAATTAGGATTAGGAGTTTATATGAATGCATGTCTGAGGGGAACTTAGGGTTATAATGGGAATTTGTTTGGTTTTAATGTAAACTATAATGGTGTCTATTTGATGGATTCTATTGGTGGATGTAATCTGGCAGATGGCAACCAATAGAACAACAGTAATTCCTATTGGAATAATGCCCAAAACAAAAAGGAATTTTGTAATGGTTTAATGGAAACTATACGAATTTCTGTGATGGTTTCTATTGTTTTTTTCAGCAGGGTAATGATACCCATACTGTGCTGCACATTATTGACAATAATGAGCTGAAGCTTGACTTTGCAAATTTAAAATCGCAAATCAAATCGCAATCGCAATATCTGTCAAAAAAAATCGCAATTTGATATTTTCCCCCAAATCGCACAGCCCTAACTCACACACACAGAATTAAATTCAAAGATTTTGCTGGAAAAACAAGAAAATGTTATGTTTTACCACTAATTACAACGAGAATCATAATCAATGCTGTTCATCATTCTGAATTATGGACTGATCATGTTATTAGCTGTTGCTCTTTCAAGTCCTTTTAAAGTTCTGTGTTACATGTTCTGTTCGGTCTTAAATACAGTGACTTGTAAATGTAGACCACCAGACGTGGGTGACTGTGCTTCATCTGGAAGTGTGTTTATGCTCATGTTTAAGTCCAGAGCTTGTTCTCTGTGTTAGAATCGTATCTGAGCACAATCTGAGAGCTGTAGGCAATCAGCTGAGCAAACAGGATTTTCAGATAAACACTTATGATGAGCAGACACTGACTGTATCTGCACACATCTCGTAAATGTCATATTTTGTTTGACGGTACCAGAACTATTTTGCAGCACATGAGGACTATATTAAAAGATGATGTTCACCATATGATCTGTATCAGCAAATTTGGGAGCACAAACTAAAACACGCAAGAGATTCACTGGACCTGAGAACATGGTTTGGATCTTCTCCAGAACCTCCACACGGTCCAGCCACACGTCTGACACGATCACAAACATGGCGTCCTCGTTCTCCTCCTCCAGCTGCTTCAGTTTGGCCGATGCTTTGACCGTAGTGCTGGACGGCCCGCCAAAGAAGTTTATATTGCCATAATAAGCCCTGGACACAGACAAGAAAACTCCATGTGGATGCAGAACTATGCCAGCGACACAGTCCATACTACAGTCAACAGAAGCTAACGCACACCTGGTGAAAGAAGAGGGTTCTGTGGGCGGGAACCCAAAAGCGTTGACGTGAAACACTGAATCCTCGTACCATCCTGTGAACACAGACAGATCATGTAATTACAGAGATCCAGGGATGGAAAGAGCAGAACAGCAGAGAGAACGAGACTCACCTTCAGCCAGAACGAAGCAGGACTCTGTGTAAAGACCGCTGTGGAACTGGTATGAAGAGCGTTAAAGAACAAACGGAGAACCTTCTCTAAGACAGCAGCACAAGTGTGTCGTGATAAACACAGGAAGGATATTGCCTTTGACATGTTGAGCTGCACTGCGCCGCTGGGGTCCTCCAGGTAGAACTTGCCCTGAAAGTACAGAGTGAGTATGAGCAGACACACGACACAAAAACCCTGGAGTGAGTTTCTGAAAGTCTGAGTGTCTAAGTTTTCTCTCTCAAAGTTCAGTGCTAGACTGCTCTATCACACGCAGAACCTCATAAACAGACTGATGCTTCAGTCAAGACCATAGAGTTTAGTAAAGACGCGTCTCTACCAATGTCCAGCCACTAATGAGCTGCCCCTAACAATCAGACAATTCAAATATATTTATATGTAACCCACTGTTGTCATCATTTTGGCTGCATCTGAAACGACTCGTACCCTTGACATTATCTGAGAAGGTAAAGCGAATGCACTAGAAAACCACACTCATTATTGCATGGACGGAGCAAGAACACCATGTAAGTGTTTAAACTACTCATGCTCACGAAAAACTCTTTAACTTACTGCTATAAAACTGAATATATGAAGCAAACTTTCTGAAATATGCACAAAATTAACACTGAAACACTGACATACGAATGTGCAGTTACCTGTTAATCAGATGCATGTGAAAGCGGTGTTCATTTTTATAGCAACAGCAGGATCCCGGACACCTTTTCTTTCAGAATCAACATTGGCTCAATTAATTTTAATAATAATATGAAGTGATCATTATGTATACGTGCTCTGATGTTGACGATTCTACTTTGGACAGAGTAAAGGTAAAGTTAAGTCTCTATTAAACCGCCTCCTTGACGTCATTAGTTACCTTTAACTCCTAACAGAATTCATTAACTGAAGTCAATATGGACTAAAAACCTGAATATACGATCAGTGAACGAGTGACGGCTGGATGTTCCTTCACAACGAATCATTCCTATTCCTTCCTCATTTCATCTGCTAACATCCACTCGATCTGCTGAGACCAGCTGACGACACCCTTGACTAACCCACAACAAGCCCTTGACTAACCCTAACCACAAACAGCTGAACAGAAATGAGCATGAACGTGAAAAGTGAAGGAATACCTCTTTAAGCTGCGTGATCATGCCGAGAACAATCACTTCTCCGACTTTAGCTGTGCTGCCCAGAAGAGCCTCCACCGTCTTCAGCTGTAAAACAGTCACAGATCATCAGCACCGACTGAAAATAGTCTGCCTGCCCTTTAACCGTCTCCACAGTGAGCTTTGTTCATTTTCACCTGGAATTTGTTCCTCCCTTCGTCTGGAGCTGAACCAATAACAGGAGGAGTGAAGAGTTCATGTCTGTGTGTTCGCTGGAAAACAAATAACGATAACCCTTTTACACCTGCTATTAACATGCGTCTCAGAAGTGCTCTGTGATTTCAGGACTACATACACCTTATAATTTTAATCACTGCAAATTTTCTGTCACTGCATGAAAACCCTTGCTATCCATGATGCATTAAGATATTATAAACGTTATGAATTTCTGTTGAGCTGCTTTGAAACAATAGGCCTCATTCACGAAACCCGAGCAGAATGACAGATGTTAACACCTCAACTTGCACAAGCATTCACAAGCACACATGATTTAGGAAGGAAATAAATATCAGTCGTGATCGTTCAGAAGCAGACAAAGTGACTTGCCTGCTGTAAGATGGTGTATCTCTCTCTGAAGAGCTCGGCTTTATCTCTGGACTGACCGCAGAGTTTAGGGACCGGATGATTCGTCATGCTGCGGCTTAAAGAGAATAAACACTGATCTCAAAACTTCATATTCCTGTTGATGGAAGACATCTTGAAGTTCACACAAACACAGCAGACGAGACACACCAGTGTTGATATTGTTAACGTTTTTACTCAGACACAAGTCACATTCACTTGATTATTATTATTTATTGAATTATTCCTCACGGTACGAATTTCTTTCTTTCTGTGCTGCCGAGGGAAAAACGCTGTGCAAGAGCAAACGCTGTGAGTGCGTTCAGATGTTAATGAGATTCTCACATGGTTTCATCACACGCCTGACTGCAGTCCTGGACCGCCGCCTCCACCACCGACAGCTCCACCATACTGGACCCCACTGAGACACAGAACATCATCACCATCATCATCACCACCATCACAACAATAACAAACAATCATCATCATCACAACAATAACAAACAATCATCATCAGTGTGGTAAATTACTGTCCATAAAAACTGTACAGACAATAAAGTAAAGTAAGGTAAGGTAAAGTAAAGTAAGGTAAAGTAAAGTAAAGTAAAGTAAAGCAAAGCATACGCGGTTGTTTCTCGACAGCATCTAGGATCCGCTCCAGAACTTCCTCCAGATCCGCTTCAGTGACGGACTCCAGAACCCGCAGCAGCAAGCGGCTGGACTCCCTGAAACCGACACAAACCCTTTAACACTCATTACTGCAGATTAAACCTAGTAAATGAAGATAACTGCTGTAAAGAGTGAGTGTCACATACGGTCGCAGGATTAATCCCCGCATTTTAAATCCCGCGCTCACTTTCAGCTTCACTCTGCGCGCGTCCATCTTCATCTGCTCCCGCCAAACAGGCGCTTCCGCTTCCGTTCCAACAAGTTCCGTAAACATCTCGCACCTTTCAAAATAAAAGCCGTGTTTACTTCCTCCGCTACACTTGGGTTTCTCTATATTAACAGTCTGTTTTGTTTGTAGCAGCTTCGTTTCATATAAAACCGTTTTTTAAAAGAATAAGGTGATGAAATAAAACTCGAGAGAGAAAGCGCTTTCTCCGCTGCTGTCAGCTCATAATAATATTAATATTAGCATTGTTAAAGTCCGCATGAAATTAAAATTGACTTTATTTACTTTACTAGCGCACATTGCTAGTCTTGATGTAAACAATTAATCCGTGCAAGTTAATCCGCTGAAAAAAATTGTTTGTCTTTGTAATCTTTAATCAAAACCTAAACATTTACTTCCTCTCTGGAATGGCGTTCCGTTTCTGATGACGTCAGTTTGACGGCTTGGGCAGTATATGCTTAAACACGCCCCTCCAACCGTTAGATTGCTATGAGTGAGCGACAGAGAGGAGGAGCGCAAACAAAACCACGCCCTCTGTTCAATATTGATAACGGAGGTGAATGCAGAGCAGCCGGTGGCTCGAGAGAGAAGCGGACACACGGCGGCGGACAGTATCTGTATGTGTGGGGCGGTTATGTGGTAATAACAATAACAATAATAATCAGGCCAAAACATACATTTTTCGCTTATTTCATGAAACGTTTAATATGGACCATTCTGCTCAAATGAGGACATTTAACAGATCAGGTTTAATAACACTTTCTTTTAATAACAGTGTTGTAAACTAAACAAATAAAAGTGACTGTATTTCTCTTCAGTCGGTGGCAGATCATGAAGCTTTTCTTCCAAATGACGAGCTCTGGTTGTACGACTTAGAAAATGGGTTGTGGTAAGAAATTACTTGTGACTTTCAACAAGCAGCTGTTTAGTGTGTGTGTGTGTGTGTGAGAGAGAGAGAGAGAGAGAGAGAGTGTGTGTGTGAGAGAGAGAGAGTGTGTGTGTGTGTGTGTGTGTGAGAGAGAGAGAGTGTGTGTGTGTGTGTGTGTGTGAGAGAGAGAGAGTGTGTGTGTGTGTGTGTGTGTGAGAGAGAGAGAGAGAGTGTGTGTGTGTGTGTGTGTGTGAGAGAGAGAGAGAGAGAGAGAGAGAGAGAGTGTGTGGAGAGAGAGTGTGTGTGTGTGTGAGAGAGAGAGAGTGAGTGAGAGTGTGTGTGAGTGAGAGTGTGTGTGTGTGTGTGTGTGTGTGTGTGTGTTTGTTTGTCCACACATGTTGACAATGTGTTACTGGTATCTTTAAACTGGAGGCACAAAAGACTTAGAATCTATTAATGCCTTTTCATATTTCCGAACAGAAAGACATCAGCTGTTGCTTCTGTGTTCTACAGGGAGAGGCGGGACATGTGTGGGACCCTGTGGCTGCATTGTGAACGAGGAGCTGTTTATATTCGGCGGCTGCTGTGATGATGGACAGACTAATGAAGTAAAGCTGCACTCAGTCTTCACTGTGTTCAGGTGCATCAGTAAAGCCACAGGCTTCACGAGAGTCTGTTGTTTCAGCTTTACTCCGTCGACCTGCAGGACGAGAGGTTCAGCTGGAGGAGAGTGACGCTTCGGTCCGGATCGCTGCCGTCGCCACGAGATAAACTCTCCTGCTGGGTTCATGAAGGAAGGTTATCATTTCTGCATCTGAATTCATCCAGCACATGCTGTTGAATATGCGGGAACTGATTTAGTAATATTTGTGTAATATGAGTGTGGATCTCCCGACAGAATCATCTACTTTGGTGGATATGGCCACAAACCGCTGAGTGCAATCCACGATCCGAAGAGCTTCATTGTGGATGAAGCATCATGGGTAGTTTGTGTTCACTGCGAAACTCCTCACAAACGAAGAACGAACAAAGAGCGATTCAAAACAGATTCATATCAGGGTCACTTTTCTCTCTTCAGGCTGAGGACATTTTCTGGGGATGGAACAATGAAGTTCAGGAGTTTGATCCGGAAAGAAGCAGATGGACTGAACCGCAGACCTTCGTAAGTCATTCAAACATAATTTAGCATATGAATCAATGACTTATCAAATGTTTTGAATTCATTCATATGTTTACAGCTAAATGAAGTTAGGAAGTAAATGAGTATGTGTTTAAAACAGTATGAAGTGTGTTTGTGAATGATTGACAGGGACGAGCTCCTCCCCCGCGAGCCGCTCATGCTAGCGCTAGCATTGGCAGCAAAGGCTACGTGTGCGGTGGAAGAATAAAGGTGTTATTGTAGAGTTATTGTTAATATGCATTTAGACTGCTGCTCCCTTAAAATAATTTCTCTGGCAGTCAAACTTATCAATCCTCTAACATATCTGCCGGTTTAAAAGCCCATACTGAGCTACAGTGAAGTGTATTTCTATAGTTCTCTTGAGAAGGCGCATGTGCCAAATTAGACTGTGTTGTCATGTTGTGTTTGTTTGCTTTCTGCGCAGGAAACTAGAACAAGTGACGAGTTTTGTCTGGATTTAAATTCATGGACATGGTCAGAAATGTAAGAGACGTCACATAGCTCCTCACTCATCTATATAATCCGCTCTTGAGTGTTATGTGCCTCGTCTGGTGTTTGTAGAGTTGGGTCTGGCGCCTGTGGGACGCTCATGGCACACGCTAACAGCCGTGTCAGATACGTCTCTTTTTCTGTTCGGTGGACTCAGTGTGGACTGCAGACCCATGAGTATGACGCACACGAAAACAACTCTAAATGACTGCATAGTTAAACTAAACTACAGACCTTTTCCTTTCTTCTCAGGTGACGGCTGGATGTTTAATCTGGAGACAAAAGGATGGACAGAGATGGAGCATCAAAACAAGGACAAACCGCGGTAGGTGAAAACATGCAGAAATGGAGATGGAAAGAGTAAGATATTATGATTGCATTCCTCAAGCTCTCTTTCGCTCTGGTTTTCTAGTCTGTGGCACACCGCGTATCAAGGAAGAGACTCAGATGTTGTAGTGTTTGGAGGAAGTCATGATTATATCCTTTTAGTGGACAAAGTGAGTGTTGTGTGCTCCACGGTGTACTGATAATTCAGCAAACATCTGAAGTCTATAAGCCTGGGTCAGTGAAGATGATTTGTTTTGCAGGGCCACTGCAACGATGCGCTTGTTTCCAGACTCCGCCGCAGCCGCTGATGCGGGAACAATCACTGAACTGTGGAACAGGAATTATGGGCTGATGGAGAACAGACTAATGCGATGTATTTCCACAGATTATGCCAAGACTTCATTGCAAGCTACGCCGGCATGTTTCAGTACCAGATTCTCTGTTTACCACCAAAACTGAGAAACGCTGTGCAGAAAAGGACGATTTTCTTCAGGCCAAGCACAGAGTCACAGAATGTGGAATGATTTGTTTTAAAGGGGTCATATGATGCGATTTTATTTTTTCCTTTCTCTTTGGAGTGTTACAAGCTCTTGGTGCATAAAGAAGATCTGTAAATTTGCAAAGACTAAAGTCTCAAATCCAAAGAGATATTCTTTATAAAAGTTAAGAGTTAGCCACACCTACCTAAAACGGCTCGTTCTAACACGCCCCACATGTCTACCTCACTATGTGGGAAGATTTGCATAACACCGCCCAAATGTTCACGCAAAGAAAGAAGGCGTAACTTTTATTCTCACTGTAGTATTGTTGCCGCTGCCGCCATGTCCTGAAGACGCTGTGTTTCGTTGTAAAAGCGAAACTACTTTGTTTGGTCTTCCAAAAGAGAACGATATCCGCTTCGTCATGCCTGGAGCTGATCCATGCTGGT